AGCACGGGAGATCACTTCGCCCACTGCCTCATCGCCTTTGAAAATGTCCACCGCAGTTGTGGACGAAACGTCAGGAAGAAATTCCGATAGACCACAGCTTCAAAGCCCGGAAAACATTCCAAAATGTAAACAAGACAATTTCAGAGACTGCAATCAACATCGGTTACTCGTGCCAGTTGCTAACTGACGATTTAATGGACGTGTTCATCGTGGACGCATCTACTTACGACGAAGTCCAGCAGCAACTGCTCAAGTTTCGGGACAACATCAAGATCGTAAACACTTACAAGCCGAATTCGGAGCCGGCAGCAGTGGGCGGCGAGCTGGATGCCGCCCGCAAAGCGAACAGCACGGAAAATGGAGTGAGCGGAGGTGCGAATGGGGCCAAAGTGGGAGGCACGTCCAATCAGAGCTGTGGTTCGGGACCGCCCGCCGTCAGCGTGGTCACGTTCAGGTGGGCTGGGACGGAAACAAACAAACGCAAGAGAGCAAGGTAGAGGACAAGGGCCACTAACTTTCTCAGAAATCATTAGTCTTGTCTTTGTTCTTTCACATCGTGGGCAGTTTTCTGCAAAAGATGAGCAACAAAGTCGGTGTTATTGGCCCAATCTTTAACAGAATTAGCACCCGTTGGAAGGCGATGTGATTTTTTTACAAACTTCTTTTTGGGGTATTTCGCCTCAAAAATGTTTGTCTTTAAAAAAGACAGAATTTCCTCACGTCTTTTATTACAGATTGATAAATAGTGAAATAACGTGTCGAAAGACAAATTTATAATACTTTAAAGAAATTTAAACATGAATTCACAGATTACGTTAGATCAAAATTAACACCACACAATAGTAAAACACCACATTTTTACGGAGGTCCAAAAATTCATAAAGTTCATATTCCTTTACGACCAATAGTTAGTAGTATAAATTCACCTACACATCCCTTAGCCAAATATCTTTTAAACATTTTAAATCCCCTAATAAATAACACAACTTCCTATATTACAAATTCTCAACATTTTTTACCATAATTATCAGACATAGACATAAATCCAAACCATATTCTAGTAAGTTTTGATGTTGTTAGTCTATTCACTAACGTTCCTGTTTTGTTTAAAGACAAAAATTGTTGAGGCGAAATACCCAAAAAGAAGTTTGTAAAAAATTAATCCGCCTCAACAATATAGAACTTATCTACGATGTGATTGACTAAAATTTCTGCGTCTAGTCACTAACCAGGTCAGTTTAAGGGGAGTCCGTCACTGATTTCACCCATTCGATAAGTTGTGGACTTTTAACGGTAAAAGTCCGAACTTTTGACTCAATAAAGTCGCAAATAGCGGAAGATTTCGTATTTTCCGGTTCTGGACTCCCCGCATTTCCAGTTTCATAATCATGCGTAGGCACGTAGCCTCTTTTACACCATTAATGAGTGATTAATCTACCTCTGCTCTCTAATTCTCTAGTACTTGCTTGTTTAGATTTAGACCCAAAAGTTGTTTATTAAGTTTCAGAAATAAAATTTCTGTGTGCTTGCAAAATTGGGGTTTTAAGTGAGATTAACTCTGCTTAACAGTTACGATCGCTTAATCCCTCAACGTTTGCAACTGAATTTTACTGCTGACTGAGCGGGAATTTTTTTTACTAATGGATCTTTGCTACAGCACCGAACTGGAGTACTTAGGAGGAATCGAAGATCCCCAAGTGGAAGAAACGACTGTGGGATTTGCGATCGTGATAAACGGACACTCGCTGGTGCATTGTTTGCATCCCCAAATGGAGCGCTTGTTTTTGGATGTTGTGATGCAGTGTAAAGCCGTGATTTGTTGCCGAGTGACGCCCCTGCAGAAGGCTTTGGTTGTTGAGTTGGTCAAGAAGAGCAAACACGCGGTAACTTTAGCTATTGGCGATGGTGCTAACGACGTTTCAATGATCAAAGGTGAGGTTTCTTCGCGGAGATTGAATGAGCCGTGCTGGAGGGCTGTTTTTGTTGCAGCTGCACACATAGGGGTTGGAATATCGGGCGAAGAAGGCATGCAAGCGGTACTGGCATCCGACTATTCCATAGCGCAGTTTCGGTTCCTTGAGCGACTACTTCTCGTTCATGGCCGCTGGTCATACTACAGGATGTGCAGTTTTTTACGTTACTTTTTTAACAAGAACTTTGCATTTACACTGTGCCACTTTTGGTATGCGTTTTTTTGTGGATTTAGTGCCCAGGTAAGCAGGAGGGGTGCCATTAGCGGAAGTACCGTCAAGTTTTTCTTGGATTTCAGACAGTATTTGATCCCATGTACATATCTGTATACAATCTCTTCTACACATCCTTACCAGTATTAGCAGTAGGAATTTTCGACCAAGACGTAAACGACAAGAACTCGATTCAGTATCCGCAACTGTACAAGCCGGGCCACATGAATCTGTTTTTCAATAAAAAGGAGTTTTTTCGAAGCGCCCTTAGCGGATGTTTCGTTTCCATTATTTTGTGTTTCATCGCTTATGGTATGGAGCTATTGCTACTCAAGTGGCTTTGTTGAACATGCAGCTATGGGTGTTTTAGGTACTTACAATGACGCCGCTACTCCTAATGGACAAGGCCTCTCGGACTACATGCTTTTCTGTAGCGCTACTGCAGCCATTCTGGTGATTGTGAATACAGCCCAGGTAAATATCACTGTTAGTCTGTATAATGGTAAGGTTTAATCGAAAACACGTACTTTAAACTTTTTGTTGGTACAAGTACGAAACAACTTCTGCATGGTCCAAAAGCTAAATGTGAAATCACGCAATCATGAAAATGGTGCTTTCGCTTTGGACTAAAATGCTATTAGCGCCCCATGCGATACGACTCGATGCGAATTTCGTACAAAATAAATCTGCAGATTTGGACTTGCGGACCAAATTTCGCCATTAGTGGGTCCGGGCGAATACTAGTATTAGAGATTATTGCCGCCTAAGCAGTCATGCTATTGCCGTACTTCCGCGGCTTAAAGAAAAATATATTCAGATAAAATTTAACGGTTGGCATTGGTACAGATTTGAGATATAGTGTATAACGTGATAATTCAAGCAATGGGCAAGAGGTGATGATGGAAAATTTGGCTATAGAAATCTTGGAAGATGATGAGATAGCAGCTAATGTCA